AATGTCAAGTGAGTGTCAGATATGTTTCCCCAACTAATCCGACATTTACATTCTAAAATCATTTGTGTTACTCAGTTACCTCCCCTTACATTTTTTTTATCTGTGGGGAGGGGGGTGCATTTGTAATGAAATGGATTTAAGCCATTGTTTCCAAACATCACAAACAGGGAGGGGGAGGAGATGCGTGATAGAGACATAAAAAAAAAAAAGTATATTTTCAGTAAATTTTGCCAGCAAAGAGATTTAGATATTTTATTTGAAACTAGAACAGCAAGGTTATGGAAATGATTGGTGTGTTAATAAAAATAAATAATTTATTGGCAATAAATTTAATGTTTATATTTTAACACAATGTGGGAGTTAATGGTCTTATCTTCCAATGAAAACATTACTTTTAACAATTTAGAGATTGAATTATATATATACAGTACTATGTAAAAAAAGCAATAATTCTTTTCAATTATTTTTAACTTTGATTACAAATAAACATTTTTATTTATTTTTTCAATTAAAAATATACATATTATTAGTAAAATTAAAAAATAATTCAGAACTATTATTTTTTGGGAAATGATTATTTTTGAGTATTTAACAAGTTTTCTACTTGTTACTTGTTTTCTACTTGAAAAAAGTGTTGTAGCATACATTTAGACAATAATGGGCATGTCCCCATTCACATAAATACAGTAGTAAATATTGTATGTTGGTCTGCAGTTGGAGATTCGTTGTAGAATTCACTTGATTCACTTCTAGCAGTTGACTACTTCTACATACCGCTGGCAAATCTTATGTGTGTTGTTCTTGTCCAAAGTATTATCATTCATTACCAACCTTCATTTGATTATTCTATTCAATAACCTTCCCTAGGTGACTCATTAAAAAAAATGTGTCATCATTTTAAAACATCTTGTAATTTTATTTCCATAATTTTATTCCAGAATATTCTTGAAAGTTTTAGAATTATTTTAATGTATATTAAAGAAACCAAGAATATGATTAATTAGTGATTTGTTATTAAAAGCTATAAGAACACACCACAGTCTGTTAAAGTACTAATAGTTGCCCTCTCAAAAGCTGGTAAATTGACTCATGAAATTGCAAATAGTGTCAACACTTCTCAATCAACTATCTCGAGGGTTTTAATAAGCTTCAATTCCACTGAAACATTTGTCAAGGTTGAAAACACATGATCGATAAGAAAACTGTCTGCAGAATCATTAGAAATGATTTCAAAGTAAGTGTCAACTCCTCTACTGTACACAGATGGCTCTTGAACAAAGGTTGCAAAGCCTATTCAAAACTTTTTAAGCCACTGCTAAATAAAACACATAAGGCTAAATGTTTAGCATGGGCAAAAACACTTACAAGTCCTTCATTAAGTCTGAGTGGAAAAGTGTTCTTTTCTCTGAAACAAAAACTGAAATGTTTTCAAAAGGCAAAAGAACGAAAATCAGACAGATGAGGGAAAAAAAACCCTTTCAAAATGACAGTTAATACTGTGAAGCATCCTGTCAGTTTTATAGTTTGGGGTTGCTTCTCATTTAATGGGACTGGATTTTTCAAATGTTAGACAAAATGCTGAACAGCACTCAATACTCAAAAATATTGGACACCTGCTTGCTGCCATCTGCCAAAAAACTCAAAATTGATCAATCAAATCTTATTTTTATGCTAGATAGTGCTCCGTGCCACACATCAAAACAGATGAAAAATTACTTTTCCAAAAAATATGGTATTGCCACTGCAATCTCCTGAACTAAAACCAATTTATGGAGTGAAATAAAATTGAGACTTTTTGAAGAAAATCATTCAAAGCAAAGAAGCTTTGATTAAAAATTTTATTGTGGAGTGGAACAGTTTGTGAGGAGATGACATCTGCAAAAAACTCATTAAGAGTATGACAGACTGAGTCAACAAAGTTCTGGAAAACAAAGATGGAAGCATAAATTACTAATGAAATTTTTCTTTTGGGTTTTTATTTTACTAAATTTTATTTTGTAAGAAAATATTAGAGTAACTTTGTACATAATTAATACAGTGTAAAAAGTGAGTCACTTTTTTGCATAGTAAATATATATTTACCTTAAAAACAAAAAATAACGTTTTAGGTTTGTTTCTTAAGAATTGTTTTGTAAAGTTGTAGACATGTATCATTTCCCTTATTTATAAAAATGTTTTTAAAACTATTTTTTATCTAAAATATTAAGAAAAAACAATATTTTTTTCCCCAAAAATTTGACTGAGTCACTTTTTTTTGCACAGCACTGTGTTATATATATATATATATATATATATATATATATATATATATTTGAATAAAAACAGACCACTTTAAGGTTCCATGTAATAAGTTATTTCACCACAACCCTTTTAAAGTTTCTTCTCATTTTTCATTTCAACCTTTGGAAGTAATATCTGATGATCCAGAGCCCTTTAAAAGGGTTGTGGTGAAATAACTTATTACATGGAACCTTAAAGTGGTCTGTTTTTATTCAAACATATTTGATCTGAATTTACATTGAGCTCTCTGGATATCATCCTCCTTGGGTCTACCCATACGGATTACCTAGTTTTCCATAAACTATATATATATATATATGTGTGTGTGTGTGTGTTTTGAACAATGAAAAATATTAAAAATTAAAATATTAATATTTAATATTTTAAATATTAAATTAAAATATGTATGGGTTGTATATTAATATTTTTTATGTTTTATTATTTCAATTAGGTTCTTTGACTAGTTTCGGCCAGCATGGCCATCATCAGGAGAAAAAGACATCCTGCTTGTTAGTAGCAGTGTACTATAGGAGTGAATGACTCTGAAAAAAGGGAACTTAATCTGTAGTTTTCATTTGTTTTTTATTGTTAATTTTGGTCAGTCCTTATGTTGATTAAACAGCCTCTTTCAAGTTGTTTTTAAGACAGAGAATGGGGGATACCTGACTTTAAGAATTCCCTCCTTGTTCATTTTGACAGTTTTATTGGTTGCTAGGAATGGGATATGTGTGTGGTAAATATATGTTATCTTTTAGTTTTTTGGGAGTATGTGTGATGTGTGTATATTTATATATTTGTGTGAGTGTGTGTATAAATGTGAGACCTCAACACCTCTGCAAGCATGTCTGCCTTGTGTGGATGAGAAATGCAGGTAGGGCTTGATTTATGGGGTTATATATTAATTCTGCCTGTGTTAAATTTGTGGTTAGAAGACCCTAACCCTGTGTATCCATAAGGAGAGCTTCAGTTATTCTTGTCTTTTCTTCTTCTTCTTCTAAGAGAACATTAATCCCTTTATTTCTTTGTCTATTTTTGGTGCTTTTTCAGGTTTGTTATCAATTTTTGTTTTTTAATTTGACAAATTAAATTGGTTTCTAAATTTGATTGAAAACAATTTTATATTTTAATTACGCATCAATTTGTTGTTCTTTTTTAGTCCCTAGAAGTGCCTTTCATTGTTGTTCTTATAATAAAGTGATTGTTTTTTGCCAATAATTGATCTCTGACAAAGGGGTGGCTGAAAATTCCATTAGATATTTGCTTTTTTCAAGATTAAGATTTATTTGTGGCTTTAATGATGTTTTATAGTATCAAGTCATTCTTTATATATATATATAGCTGGCCACTCCACATATTCGAGGATACCCATCTACTAGGACGCCTAGCCAATCCCTATTGCAGATGCTTTGATGATTTTTGTTTATTCAACACCCACAGAGCCCATACTGCAACTATGCTGAGCAGACCTTAGTTACAGTTTCTGGAAAAGAGCATGTTATCTAATATGATCAACAATTTGAACAAGGCCAGCACGCTCAACCCCTTGGTCATGATGACTTGTGACTTTGTGCTAGTACAGCTATTGATTCTCCCAAGGACTCATCTACCCAATTTCATTCACAAGGCTTGGGTCAATCCGTGGTTTAGTTTTCAGGCACTTTCCAAAGGTGCTGCATGCTGGGATTGACCCCTCCAGTCCAATAACATCAAGAAGTGTCCATCCTGACAAATCGACCATGGTGAGATTTGAACCTGGATCTCATGGTCAGAATGCAAACGTTCTAACTACTTGGCTACAATATATATATATATATATATATATATATATATATATAAAAATATTTGGAAACACTATATATTATATTACCACTGGAATTAAGTGAGTAGCTGCGCTATATTGAGTCTAGTTAGTTTTTTTTTCAGCCTGTTGGTCCAGTGGTATGATGCTTGCGTTGTATCATAAAGGTCCAGGTTCGATTCTCAGTAGTGGATGTGCACTGCTGTGGAGTCCCAAATGAAACAGCCGTCCAGTGCTTTCTGTTGACGATTTCTTCTAGACTCGATGAATTACTATGAATGATTATTCAAATCTCCAAAATTTCTATCACTTTAGATCTGCCATTTGAGAATCTTAATAAAAACAATGTGCACTCTCGCTGGGTTTGAACCTGCATCCATTTGTAGAGTCAACCATCATGTGATCCAATGTGTTTTAGACTGCTTACACACAAAAAGCTTCACAGACCAACAAACTTCAGTTACCCTTTTATTAAGGAATACATGTCTTCCCATTCTGAAGTAGAAGACCTTTTCAGTACTTTATATATGATAAATGATAGATATGAAATATCCAAACTATATAAGATGGAATACATAAGAAACTACTTGGATGTTTAAAATTTTGGGGTTTTTTTTCATTAACATTTTAATCCCTACAAGCATTCTCAAAACACTTTAATTTTATTGATTGATTCATTTTCTATGGTTTATCAACCCTTTACAGGTTATTTAAAACCAGAAAATATTTTTAGAATTATTTTTTGGGGGAGAGGGGAGGTAATGATTTAGTGATACTAATTAACCCATAGCTGGTGGGGAGAAGAAGTGGATTTACACCTTTCCAAGGGGTATTTGAACACAAGTGAATATAACGAACCCAATGAGAATTTGGAACTTGACTGATTAATAATTCTGAGCCATTATACAACTACACATCCAAGCTTACAGTACCTGGTATTCCCAAGTGGTCACTCATCTAGATACTGACCAGGCTTGTTGTTGCTTCACTTTGTTGATCATATGGGAACCAATGTTTCAACATGATAAGGCCATAAGCCTAAGATTTTTTTTCAGTCATCTTGTAAACACTTACAATGAGTGAAACGTTAAGAAAATAAAATTTAAATATCCAATTATATTTCACATATTCTCTCTTTTTATGTATGTGATTTGTATGAAGTAAATTAATGACCGAGCCCAGTGAGGTACATCCTGACACAAGTAAACAAGTGCTGCATGTTGGAAAGTGACAAACCTTTATCAATATTTAGGATGAGGAAAATCAATAACTGAGTCCAGTGATGTCAGGAAAACCTTTGAGCATTATCTACCACATGTCTGCTGGCTTGAATACTGAAAAAAATCTTATTAAAGAGAAATATATGTTGTCTGGCATGATTTGAACCTGTGTCCACTTGGGAAGAGGAAAACTGTCATTAGATCTGACGTGCCTTGACCAATTCTACCATGGAGAAGCTTTACAGATCAAGAAAGGTTTGAAGAGTGCCTTTAAGTTAAATCCTCTTGTCATAAACCTGGAAACAGTAGACAGAAATGAATAAATATACAGCTTATTAAATAAACAGAGCATCTACTCAAATATGAATATTCACTAAAAATAATGTTTAAAGTGATAGAAATCAGTTGGATTAATAAAAAAAAAAATATCCATTACTTCTTTAGAAAACAGTCCTTTTGAACAAAATTGAAGAAATTCCTCATCAATTTCACTGTGTAGTAAAAATTTAAAATTGATTTCCATTTCCCAGTCTAATGTGAAAAAAAAAAAAACTTTAAAAAAATCTTTTAAGATGCCTTAAATTTCTTATACTGTTTTCTAAAAATCAGGATTGGTAAGGCTATCAAAAACATTTTTTTATTTATTTTACTTAGACTAAGAAGAAAAGTTAAAATAGAAATACTGGTTGACCATCACTAATTTGGTATCACTGGGAAACTGTAGGATACCAGATAAGTGATTCTGCTTGATTACTGATGGTTACATTAAAATGCCCTTATCCCAACAGCTAACCACTTCATTCTATCTTTTAAAGCTAAAATGGTGACAACTTCACAAGAAAAGTTTTTATGAGGCCAAAATTTAACATCATTTTTATTTTTAACTTAAGGCCATGTTGACAGATTTACAGATTCACTGACTGGTTTTCCTTAGAGACGATTAAAATAATCTTGAAGAAAATCAATGTTCAACTGTCATCATATTGTGAAACAACTTTTGTTCTTTTAATCTTTAGGGTTAAATTTTTGAAAAACTATTAGGAAACTTTGAACCAAAATAGTGTGGCTTATTTTCCAAAATATATTTGAAGCCAACAGTCAACATTTTTTGGTTTGATCTGTAGAAGGATGATCTTTGCTCGAATTCCTTGACCGAGACATATTACTCATGAATAAATGAGTAATGACCCTACGACCACACCCAATCATGGGACTGATGATGATAATGTCAACTGCAAGTGACTGTAGTTTAATGATGAGATTGTGATCAAATTTGGGAATAAACTGTCTGAAGTTCATGTTTAGTTGTTGTTGTTTTCTTCAAGTACTTTTGACCGTCTCAGTTATTCTTAAGAACCAATATAGACATGATATATATATATATATATATATATATATATATATATATATATTATTATTGGCCAGGTAAATATGTTACTTAAAAGGGGTTTCAATGAATGTATTTCCTGATGTCATTTGTTTGCAAATTCAACATTAAATAAATGATTTAGTGTTGTGTTCCAAATCTTGTGTTGACAGAGATTCCTCACTTTAACACACTTCATATCTTATGGCAAGTTACTTTTTGGCCCTGAACCCATGTATCCATTTTATTGTTTTATTTAAGGTAATCTCAGCAACCATGGCAATATATTATTTAGTTATTCTTTTTTTCTTTTATTTTAAAATAAATATTTCATACAGGAAAGTGTTTGTGGAGCAACATTTCATATCATCTGTCAAAATGACTTCTTAAGCTGGGTACAAGTTAATTTATTTGTGGAAGGTGGGTTAAAATTTGGCCTTGTAAAAAGATTCAACTCACCAACAAAGTAAAAGAAAAGAAAAAGAAAGCAGAGAAAGTGTAAATCACAAATTTTTATGTTCAAGAAAATGTTGAGGTGTTTAAAATTTTTTTTTTGTTTACCTTTTTTTTATAGTCCAGTTTCTACTTATGAAGACAGTTTTTGTATGACAGGGAATAGACAAGACACAGAAAGATTTCTTAATGACTTTTACTCAAACTGTTACATCTGGATGCTACTCATATTATCACACAGACTATTTGAACTAACTACTTGATACATTGTCCTCTTGTGTGGATATAATATTAGCCTCTAAATTTGTACAAATTTTTAGTAAAAAAAAAAAAGATTGGCCCAATTCTAAAGTGTTTTACTTGAAGAGTATAAAATTTCTAATGACTTAATAACTATACATGTTTTACAGCGGAAACTTTGCAGATTAATAATTTGACATGTTTTAAATGCTGTGTAATTTTTAATATGAACCATAGATTACAAATTAATAAAATTTATTTTAAGTTGATATTCACTCAGTTGGGATATTGTATCTTATTAATAATTTTGAATAAAAAGAAGTTTTTATTTTGTCAGAAACTGAATACATGCCTGCTATAATTTCTTTTATTTAATCTTAATTTATACAATTTTTTAAAAGTTTTTCTTCACAAATACAACATACTCAGCACTTGTAGAATTTATAAGGCTTTTTTTTTTACATGGCTGCAAATTTATTGCCAATCCCCACTAGCTATTATTAACAGAACATTAACTAAAAATATCTAAACTGCAATAATTCTGCATAGATTTAAGAAGAATTCTGGTCATTCTTGATTTAGCGACATTTGATAGAAATGAGAAATTAAAATTTCTGTCATTTTCAACTATTCTGTCGAAAGGATCTTTTTTTTATTTCTAAATTTGACTGAATCAAACAACACCCTTTCAATTTTCCCAAAATTCACTTTTCTACTCTTTTTTTTCTTTACTTTCATTATTTTGACAAAAGTTTTTGCAAAGATTGTATTAAAATTGCTCTTCTTATATATATATATACACTAATATTAGACCAAATCTGCAAAGCAAAATTCGCTAATTTTCTCTGGGCCTAATTTTTTATTTTTTTATTTTGATAGTTTTTATCAGACAGAACAGAATTCCATATTTTTTATATATATATATATATATATATATATATATATATATATATATATATATATATTGTAAAAAATATACATACACAATTATATTGGGACAAAAATTTTATTAATGTGCAACCAGTATATGGGACAAATTATTTATTAATGTGTGTGTGTATGCACACACACACATATATATATATATATATATATATATATATATATATATTAATTCTATGTGTGATTATTCTTTTATATATATATATATATATATATATATATATATATATATATAAAAAACAGTTTAAACACTAATATTCCATGGTCATAATTTATTCCATTGGAATCGTAAATATGATCCAATTCATCAGACCTACAAATATGTATGTATATTTACCACTAATATTATATATATATATATATGGATGTGTATATATTTAGATATACATATATGTGTGTGTATACAGATATGGATGGATGTATATATATATATATATATATATACACACACACACATATATACACACACACACATATATATATATATATATATATATATATATATATACACACATATATATATGGATGTGTATATATTTATATGTGTGTGTGTGTGTGTGTATACAGATATGGAGATTATATATATATATATATATATATATATATATATATCACACACTGAGTGCTGGTGTTAATAAAATAGTGCTCGATATAAAATAACAGAGCTAAAAGTTATATTTTTTCTCTTTTTATTTTTTATCTCATAATTCATCAGGGTTTTCTGGGCACCATTAGTACTGCAGCTGCAGTAGAAGTGGTGTTCCTTAGGCAAGATATATCCTGGCAGATTCCAACCCTCGCCAGGCCAATTTTGAATTCAGAGTTTTTCCCTTCTCCTAAACCGGTTGCTTCCCAAGGTCATAAAACCCAGTCTATCTTGCTATTTACTCATAGCTGGTGGGAGAAGAATACGATTCATACCTTTCTCAAGTGTATTAGCATGTAAGTGAATGTAATGGCTCTGATTGGGATTTGAACTTGGCTCTCTGATTCCTCAATCTGAGCTGCTAACCATTACTCCACTGTGCTTCCCTTATTATATATAAATAATATACATTTTTCCCCTCACCAGTAGCATGACTCAGAGTTTCATGCACAATGTAATATTCAGGTGTTGGATTTAGACTGACCATTAGATAATTTAAATTTTGATATGTATATCAGATTATTGTAATGATGAAGCAGTCCATTTTATTTATAGGGATTTTTGTATGTAAAAAAATTTATTTAAAATAAACATTATGGCAAAAAACAAAGCTTGAAATGGTAAAGGCAAAAGATGTAATCTATACCTTGTAGAAAAACTAAATTATTGCAAGATATTTAAAACTAATTTATTAAACAAGAGAAATGTAGGCATAAAAAACAAATACCTCTTGAAACATGTTGAACCAGATTGATTTCAATTGAAGAATAAACCTTTGCTTTTTTAATATATTTTGTTACTTGATGTTTAGTTGAATTATTTTGTAGGAGTGTATAATCACTAGTTCAAATTAGTTTATATCTACTTGTATATCTTGGTTTTATATATATATATATATATATATATATATATATATATATATATATATATATATATAATTAAGAATTGGACAAAGTCCGACAATTTATTAAAGACATTTTTATGTTTAACATTCTTTTTATAGATACAAGTATTTAAGTAAATGCTCTGTTTATAATGTGTGTGTGTGTGTGTGTGTGTGCGTGTGATTATTCACAAATTTGATCTGGATGCACAATTTATTAAACAGTGACTTGTCTCTTGAATTTAATAAAACTTGTTTGTTTGAATTCTCTGTCTAAATACACAC